GGGGGGGCCGGGCCCGCCTCTGTGCGGGTTCCGAGGGGCGGAGGGGCAGGTGCTGGAGCTGGGCCCAGACGAGCTGCGGCAGCAGGATGTGGTGCTAGCCGAGCTTTGCAGCTGCCGCGTGCTTCTGAGGGGCAACCCCAACACACTGCGGGTGAGCGGCTGCCGCAACTGCACGGTGCTGTGCGGGCCCGTGTCTACCTCGGTGATGGTGGACGGTTGCCACGGCTGCACCCTGGCGCTGGCCTGCCAGCAGCTGCGCACACATGCCACCCGTGACACGCAGCTGTACACTGCCGTGGTCAGCCGCACCATTCTGGAAGGCTGCGCCAGCATCAGGTTGGCACCCTACAGCTGGACCTACCCCGGCATCGAGGCCGACTTCGAGGCCTCTGGGCTGGATCTGCAGCACTGCCACTGCGACCTGGTGGACGACTTCAACTGGCTGGTGCCAGACCAGCCCTCACCCAACTGGAGCATCATCCGCAAGGATGAGCAGGTCACCTGCTGGGACTGAGCGTGGCCGTCGCCCCCCACCCTGGAGTCAGAAGTAATGTTAGCCTTGATTCGCCCCAAGCCACGCTGTGCTGTGGGTCTCCCCTCCCATGAGCCTGGTGCCTGGCCATACAGTCCTCCCACCACCTGCACCCTGGAGTTGGAAATAACTTTAGCCTTGATTTGCCCTGTGGCCACCATATGTCAGTGGTCGGTGATGTGGTGGAAGTAGATATCCGTGTTGGACAGTTGCCAGTCATGGTGCAGTTGTCCAGTCTTATAGAATCGATTTTGCTGCTGTAGTAGTGAAACCAAGGTGCTGTGCTGGAACTCACAGCCAGAGCCCTGGTGAGAACTCTTCCGCTTCTGGGCCTCGGGCACCAGAGACTCTGCTGTTCCACCTGGATGACAATGAGCCTCTAAATACGAGTATGATGCTGCCTGCTTGTTAAGTCAATGAAGGGAAAGCTGACCTGCCTTCCTCCTACAAGGTGAAAAGCAAATCCTCAGGAGGGTGGGATTTGGAGGAGTCTGAGCTCCCCAGCATATATAATGGCCTGTGACCTGGTCTTCACCAGGGAGAAAATGTGTTCTTATCTCTCCTTAACTCATGCAAAATAAAAGTGAGGACAAGGCTGCTGGTAGCTTTTGCTAGTATTAGTAGATTAAGGTAAGTATGGGGTCCCAACATAATCTTGGTCTGTTAATGCTGGTAAAAGGTACGGGCTGCCTTGTCTAGATCATCTCTCTTTTTTTCCTAGCAAAATTATTTTTACTAATGTTAAATAGTACACAGTTATCTTCTGTGAATGCAGACAAGCCCTTAGATCGTGAATTTACACCATTAAAGTAGGTGGCGTTTGACAGCCCAAGGGTCTGTTAAACTGACAATTGCCAAAAAAAAAATACTTGCCTAGGTGAGATCTCATGTAGGGAGCTGGGAATTTTGCTGATGGGTGGAACCAAGATGGCTCTTAATGTACCTGGCTTTGTCTAGCTGGGAAAATTGCCCTAACCTGCTGTGGTATGAATTTACAGTGTGTTGGCTGCTCTGCACTACAAGTGGAAATCTTACTGCTTATTAAGTGCATCCACCTAGGGAGTTAGTGCATTGGATACTATAAACTGTAAATTCACACAGCTGCCTGCAACATAGTGACTTTTCATACAGGCATACCCAGATTCTTGATCTCTGCAAAAGCAGCGTAAGTAGAGGGTCCAGACAGTTTTAAAAAACAAACTATGAGTTGCCCAAGTGTTTTAATTCTGTGTACTTCCATCATGCATCTTTTCAACAAACACTTTTTTTTTTTTATACAAACTTTTATGTTCATTGATTTGTTTTTGTTTGTTTTTTTTAAATTTCCATTATGAAGAAAAAGATAATTATGCTTAGCAACTGGGATAAAATTAGTACAAGGACATTTTTCAAATGTTCAAGTCATTCCAGTGCAAATTGCAGATGAATGCAGGCTAATCGCTGTTCTCTTACATTCCATATGGTTATCTTTACTAACGTTAAACATTGCCTTGCCTATGAAAAAACACCTTCTGTGAGGCTGAACAGAAACTTCCCATGTTGGCCATTTCATTGCTGTAATACCTTTGAAACCCATCTTTAAGTATTTGATTCTTTTTGAACAGCAGAGAATTTCACTTATCCATTATTTCTTTCTAGAATTAAAGGTTTTATGTTGAACCATGGAATAATAGAGGACTTGGGTCTTTATATACAACTTTTGCACATTTTGTTTACTTGCACTAACGTGTGTTTTTTAAGTTTTTTTTCTAGGTTTTATACACTGAATGTACATTTAACAACTGTACTCACCTCATCTATTCTACTGTTTGTATTTATTTGGTGAAATTTTCTGCTGTTTTGTCCGGTTCCTAAAACTAGTTCAAAGAAAATAAGTCTTGCTTCTAGTGTTAATGCAATGTATCCCCAGGGAAATCTCTTCCAAACTCATTATTAAAGAGATGCGATCAGGTGAAAGGTCAAGTGTTTAGACTTATTGACAGGCTCCTGCCCTACCACTACCATATTTTCTCACATGAAACAAACATGTCTTTCCTCAAACCAGTCAGGAGAAGCCTGCTGCCAAACTTACAGACCTCTGGGGATGCCCCCTGGCTGGAGGTTATAGGCTTGCATGCTGGATCGTGCTGGCATGTGGGCTTAGTCCATGGCTGGACTCAGTGTGCAGCCCTGGACTCAGCACATGGAGGGGGAGTCAGTCCACAGCCAGACCTTGCAAGTGGGGTCAAAGCCAGTCTGTAACCTGCAATCTAGCACATGACCCTAGGCTGCAGGTCCCATCTAGCGCACAGGGGTGGCAGCAGGCTTGGCTCCCTAACTGCTGCTACCACTCATTTAGCCAAGGTAAGATCTTTTTGCTGCCTTTTCAAAAACAGGGTGTATATTATATTCTAGAGTGTAATATTATGTGAGAAAATAGAGTACTACTCTTTTCCCACTTTGCAAATCCTTGCACTGACAATGATACCGTCTCTCCCTTTCCCACTCTAGTTCCATGTTGATTACAAACAGTTTGTCTTGGGTCTTATAATAGTTAAAGAAATCACTACAAAATGGAATTGAGGGAGAATAAATGAATGTTATGACTAAATTCCTGCATTACTTCAGCAAGATAGAGCAGTAGATCAGTACAAAGTACCTTCAAACATCAGTTACAAAAATGCAAATCTTAAAATACTGAAAATCAGTTATTCTCCTGAGTGCTTCTCCCCCACCTCCCTTTTTTTCCCTGTCTGCTAACCAGTTTTCTTTTTTATTTTAAAGAAATTTCAGACACTAATTACTGCTGCCTTTCCAAAGAGTGGCTGTAATGATTCTTGCCTTGGGGGTGAGACGGAGAATTGAACCTTAGTCACCTGCAAAGTGACGATTTTCTCTAGGAGTAAATCTAAGACACATTTTTGTTCAAGGAATCCCATATGCATGTAACAATAAGTATAGCAGCAGTAGTGTTAAGTCTGGTCTTAAGTTTCTCAAACTTTCCAGAGGCTATACTGTGTATACTGCTATACATGTCTGTTTAAAAATTACATCCCTGTCTTGGAATATCTAAACCAGGCTAAGTTTTAGTATCTTTGAGCAAAAGATACTACACTACACTAATGTTGAAGGATATAGTATGTAAACACTCAAAGTCTGTGATGAAAAATTTGTGTTGGACATATTGGATATTATCTAATTGTGTCAGCATAGGAGCAACTTGCAGCTTTCTGCAAAGGAAAAAATGTGAAAGAAACATTAAGTTACCAAAGTACTTGAATAAAAGGGGTTAAATGGTATTCATCATGATAATCTTTATTAAAGCTATATGGGGAAAAAGTTGTGTTACTGTGTTTTTGAAAGGCATGGACTGACTCCCCTGATTGCTCCATTAATCCAAGAAAAAAGTATTCTCTCCTAAAGGCAATGTACTCTACAAGGTGAAGGGGGAGGGGGAATGCTCTCGTTACATGACATTGCAATATGGTAACCTCCTGCATCCCAGAACTATTAGTAGGCATGATAAGGGTTATTTCAGTGATAACCCTTTCCGCCTGAATTATGTATTGCCAGCTGTAAGCAACAAAAGCATAGGTGAGTCCTATTCCTTTCCCTTAATGTGAAATAGAGAATTGTAACAGAAGTATAATGCCAGTGGTATAAATATCATTCATTTTTCAGTACTGTTTACAAAAGTGCCTAAAGGATGAAATATTGGTAGGAGTACAGTTTAAATGACTTCCATAAAATATTTTAAGTACAGTTTAGTAACCTATTTTAAGATATTTTGCTTTATCCTGCTGA